ATATATATATATATATATATATATATATATCGTCACAAACAGAACTGCCCGGTAAACCGTAGGCAGAGAGAGAAGAGGACAACAAACGAGGGGCTATATATCGTCACAAATATATATATATATATATATCGTCACAAACAGATATATATATATATATAAAGTAAGAGCGCACTATGAGAAACAAACAATAAAGACATACGAGACAAAGATGAAGAAGATCACACTGAAACCGTTATTTTGGCTCTTGCTATGCACTTCTTCCTTTTCTTTCCTTACTGTCACCGCTTTGATTATTCCTTCGTTTAGCTTTCCCATTCACTGTGCCTCTCACGTACAAGGCTCGCCACGTGGATGAAGTTGAGCATGAGCTGCCTGCATCCACTTGTGCCACAATCACCCTCCTGTACGTTGCAAAAACAGTTAAGACTCAAGGGTGTAAAGGGGGAGAAGCTAAACACAGAGGAGAGATGGAAATGCAATGACTTGCTGATTTGACTGCTGTGTTCTGACTGTGAGGCAGTATAGTACAGCTAGGGTTAGATTTGCAATTTTGTTTTCTCTGAGGACTAACTGCGATTTCAGTCTTTAGGAAATTAGTGAGGGACATATCTGTAAATTTGGGAAACTTACAGTCCTACCCTAACTCGAATTTCCTATGCTATCCGAACTGCGAATAGCAGACCCGGGCTACCACGAGAATAGACAGGCCTATGGGCCTTCGCTGATAGACTGGTCCTATAGCCTATAGCTGGGTAGGAAGAGGCCCTAGAGGCCGAAACTGAAACGGTACCGGTCAGTCCAGTCTTAGGTCTAGGTTAGTCTATTAATAGGACTGAGGTAGTGTAGTGAGGGACTTAAGCAAGGAAAGTGACGATTGACTCTGGGCGGCATCCTGAGTCCCTCGCCAGACCTCTGGGGCCCGCTTTAGCTGGGGCTCCCTCCACACACTCACCCCTGAGGGTGCTTGTGATTGTCTGGGCTATCAGGAGCCTCTACATAGCTGTGTGTGGGTGGACCGCTGCTGCTGCTACTTCGTCAGAGCCCGCTGTGTGGGAGAGACAGTGGCGCTGCAGCTTTTGACGTCAGAGACTCATCATCTCCATCAGGAACTTGAGTGCTGGTCTCCTTCTTCATCATTCTGGTTGGTGCAGGCCTCTGGGAGGCAGTTTCAGCACAGCGCTACTAACAGAGTGCAGGAGTAGGGGGTAGAGTGTGGGTTTCAGTGGTGGGGAAACATTGGGAGAGAACTTTGTAACGTTCAGGGTTGTTATTGGCTCAAACTTGGTTACGTTTTGTTGTGATCCTCGAAGTGTCGTCTTATGATTGGTTGTTGGGAGTATCATCAGAGAGGGAAACACTGTGTGTTGTCGTCACACTCTGTGCACAGTTGCTTTCCGCTGCTTACTCTGTTTGTGTGCAGTGTGTACTCTGTCTCCTCTCCCCTTCTTCTTATCCGTGTATGGGCATGTATGAGATCGTCTGCGTATGAGTGTTGATTGAAATCGACAGACAACCAACTTCATAACAGAAAGAAGACAAAGGGAAATTGGACAGGTGATACACAGAGAGAAGAGATGGAAAGAACACCACAAAAAAGTATAGGGAAAGTGACGAGTGTGGAATGAAGATGAAAGCATAGGAAGAGATAAGAGGAGGCTCAAGAATCAGTCCGTCGTTGACAACAGAGAGGACACACATTGTAAGGATGAGACGGATGCGGAAATGGAAGACTGGTTGAGCATTCTCAGTACAACACTTGCCACGATGGCTGGCATTGAGCATGCCCACCGAAAACTCCCGACAAATGGCATGTCAATTGCAGGCCAACATGAAGGAAGCACGGGCACCACAAAAAACCATGCATTCAGCATAACGCCCATGGCCGCAAAATAGAAATTTAGTGCCCGGGTGCGGAGGGTGCCTGCAGCCTTGAAAGAAGGGACAGTCCTCTGCACACATGGATGCAGAAACCATGTCATTGTATTACATGATTGTATCATTGTTGTGATTGTGACAGAGATGATGACGACTGCTGCCGAGGGTAACAGTGTTTGCAGCTGTGCAAAGGAGAAAGTCACAGAATGTTGATATATTGTCATGTTGCAGACACAGTGGAGTAGAAAATCCAGATCGTAAATTTCCCTTTTAATAGGCTTTTTTTGCCGCTTTTATGAATTTCAATTTCTTAACGGAACAAATGGGGTGCAGTATTCCGCAACATTTTCACCAAATTGGCTTGGCAATCCAACACCGCAAATACGCACCCATCATGGGACCCCGACACAATTCCAACGCCAGGAAGAAAAGCCAGCCCGCGAACAGAATCTGCAAAAGTTCGTAATGACAAAAGTTAGCAAATCATGGCGGGAAGCACCTGGCCTGTGGGTGAATGGCACATAAATCATAAATGTACCTGTTGATGAACAGGTATAGAGCTCAAATCTGGCACACACATGTATATGTAGATAAACAGATCAAAAAGTTCAGATCCCTACCGTCTTCACAATGATAGAACGCCCAGTCATTATAGCCGTATTTGGGGCCACTTTCAGTCTAGATGCAGCCATAATGACCGGGTGTTCTATTCGGTGAAGACGGTAGTCAGGTACAACAAAATTAGACCCTACCTCTTCCAAGAAAGGAGGGAAATAGCAGGCGCACACCAGTCAATCATCTGCAGAAAGCTTACCATATTCATAGAATTTTAATGCCCTTCACCAACCCCCCCCCCCCCGCCTCCCGCACACCCCCGTTAACCCCCCACCTACTCGCTTTTGATGATTCAATGAACAGCAGCAGGACTGAGGGGCAGGCCACACGGCCGCCATAGTGAGCTGTGTCTATGTATAGGTTATGGAATCCAAAGATTTCCATGCAAAGTTGATTCTGACCATCTCATTACGACCATTAGATTTCCATACAAAGACCTAGACATAGCCGAGCGGGCCCTGCACTTAACTCTAGAGCGTGAAGCACAGCCCTTCGGTTGTTTCAGCATAGCTGTCTGCAGGGGAGGTCTCGTTGTTTTAGATTGCCTAACCGTAGGTAGGCTCTAGCTTTTCGATTTAGCTCTTCGATTCCGTGGTCTGGTCTGGTATGGTACGGTCCAAACTGGGACTATGCTCTAGCTCTTCGATTTACCTCTTTGATTGCATGGTAAGGTATGATCCAGTCTGAGACTATGGTCCGAACTGGGACTATGGTCCCGACTGGGACTATGTACCACATCATCAAGAATATGGGGGTGTTGCTGGTTAAAGCTCTTCCCAATAGAGATGTGAAGGGCTGCCCCCATCTTCCCATTTTGTCAATTTGACTGGAGAGTGGACAGTAAGTTTTGCGTCATCTGTGGGGCTTGACCATCCTTATGTGAATTCGCTGGTATCTTGTTGGCGTCTCCAGTATTTTCCATCTCATCTGACTCTCCAGGCCTTGAAGCTGGGGACTGTTTTCTCAGGTAACCACCAACTTAACGGCGTCATAGACTCATAGTCAATTTTATCCTCATCTCCGATGCCAGTGTGAACGCTTCCCTTGCCCTGACCAATACACTCACAGGTAAGTTGGAGGCTTGGACCAGCGCCATCAAGTCGTCAGCAAACATGATTACTGCTGGAAAAGAGAGGTGATGGGGGGAACTAACATTCACTTCGGGCAGCCTTGAATACATAGGTTTTTATGAAGGGAGGACGCTATGCCTTCCACTACAAACAGAAGAATCGGTAGGGCTAGAGGATCCCCGTCTGGCCGACCTCGAAAATGGGTAGCTTCCTAAATTTTCTCCATGCTTGCATTTAATTTCCTCCATGCTTGCATTAAACCACCAGCTCAGCAAGGCTAAGCCGATGAAGCTATCTGCCAAGGTTCGCGAGCCTGCAACTACGCCCTTTCAAAGTAGCCTGCCGCTTCACCTTCCAGCCCACACCCGGATCGAAATGCTCGTACGGCGTATACTGGTAAGAGCACTACTTAGGTCCGTGTGAACTGGTGGTTTAAACTTAAAACCACCATTGGGTACATGACACCAGCCAAGTTGAGAATCCCATTGATCCTCCCCTAAAATTTCGGGGGCTCGAGGCAGGGCGTGCGAAGGGCCAGTAGAAAAAAAAAAGTGTCCGATGCCGTGGAGTGGCGGCTGGCCGCGCCCTGAACGAAAAAGAAAAAAAATGACTGCCTGCCTCCATGCGGGCCCGGTCCCGCCCGAGTCCCCTAAGGCCCATTTGAATTCTCCAGATCTACTGGTGGGTTTAAGGAAGGCCAAGTTCACTCTATCATAGGCATTCTCAAAACGGGAGAAAAGAATAGCTGTGTTGATTTTCTTTTCCATTACCTTTTTTCGAGGTCTTCTTCGGTCTTCACGACCTTGTCGATAATGTACCTTCCTTCCTGGTATGAAGCCGGCTTGGTCTATGTGAAAGCACTTGTATATGTTTGGTCCAACCTTCGGAACGCCACGGCCTTGGCCAGAAAATCTTACAGGGGGATGTGAGCAGGGAGATAGGTCTGTAATTTTACTCATTTCTGATATCGTCCAGGTGTCCCTTTTTGTAAAGTATTGTGACCATACTGCTACGAAGAAGCTCACGCCCATGCCTCCCCTCTTCCAGCTGTCCTTACAGAAGTTCATAAGATCGCTGCCCACTAGAGGCCAGAATTTCTCCCAGAATTCTTTTGTCAGTCCATCTACCGCCAGGGGTCTTGTTGTTTCTTAGAGGGCGACGGCCTTGAGATAACGTCATTGAGCTGACCGGCCCCATGTAATTCAGAAATATCGTTTCCTTCATCTGATTCCATCGTTGCGTGGATTCAAACTTGGGTCTGTATTTTCAAAAGTGTTCGGGTGTACCAACTGAGCTACCTTCTTCCCCCGAATACAACGGAAGGTCATTATAGCTGTATTTGAGGCATCTGTCAGTCTGGATACAGCTATAATGACCGTACGTTGTATTCGGGGGAAGAAGGTAGGCTCGACAGTACCAGGGGTCTGCTTACTATTCATCCTTTGGACCGCAAAACACAGCTCCCGCGTCGATAACACCATAGCAATTCAGAGCAGCAGCAGGAGGAGGAGGGTAGGAGGAGGGGAGGAGGAGGGGAGGAGGAGGAGGAGGAGGAGAGGAGGAGGAGACACAGATGCAGAGAGGAGAAGGAGAGAAAACCATTAAGAACCTGACCTGTATGGCCTCGAAATGTGTGTACACAGCTGGAGCTTCGCCACAGCTTAATCGTGCAGTCCCCAGATCCTGCACACACATTCAAGCACAGCGATTACAGACACATGTCACGTATCCAATTGAAAAATGGGTCTCAGAATCAGGCGAAGAAGTCGAGAAGCACAAATGCACATGATGGTAAATTGGTAAACCTTTTTTTCTTTCTTTCTTTTGATGGAACGTTGGAAATCTCAGCAGCTCAGATCACTTGTCCTCTGGGACATTCCATTCAAAATTGTAACGATGGAGAAGGAAGATTAGCATGGCCCCTGCGCAAGGATGACATCCATAAATCTAGAAATGGTCCAAATTGAAAGAGAGAAAAACAAAAAAAGGAGCTCAGCTCACTTTACAGATTGCCAATTCTGCCTGTGTTCACAGTCTTCCATGTTTATAAGATTAAACAAGTGATTCAAGGCCCCTTGGCCTTCCCACTATCCAGCAGGGCTGCCAGCATGCAATGGACCCGGCCCTAGGTAACAGCCGGGCATACTGTAATAAAGCAATACCTGGCCCCCTAAGTAACAGCCGGGCATACTACAATAAAGCCGCGCTCTAACTATAGGCCCAGACATTCAACAGTGACTGCCGGGGTGATAAAGTGACGGTCCAGGCATATCGAAGGCAGAGGAAGCTGTTCAGACGTCTCAAGGTACTTTACGTGAAGGAACCTCTCGATGAAGCAACCGTTAGACAAAAGCATTGGGGAAGGATGCTGAGGGACATACTTCTGTACGTCGGAGGAGTGCTAGCTAAGTGCGCTAAAATTAGCACAGCAGAAGCTGGCTGGGCCAGGTGCCTTGACGACAGAAGGGGACAGCTGCCACTCTACAGCAGCTCTGACGGCGGCAGCCATAGCTGCACTGGTTGTTTGAATCAATTCACTTAGATTCATTGACTTCAGTCGCTTGGCTGGATTTAGGCTCGCCAGAGTTCAGATGCAATGGGCAAATAACGGTAGTTGCACCCGCGTTTTCAAATTCACAATCTGACACTTTTGACCGATTAAGTTATATTCACCGAAACGCGGTCCCCACACGGTCGAACCGGGGAGCGCTGGGAGGATGATGGGAAGAGAGGAGAGCAATGACAAGGTGGACTTAATTAGGGATGGGGGATCAGCACACAGGATGTAGTCAGACTCTTAGACATCGTCGGGTGAAAAGAAGAGAGGACCGAGAAGAAGAGAGAGAGAGATAGAGAGGAAGTAGGATAGTATGTAGAATAAGTAGGGAAGTAGTATCACAACATAGAAAAAGAGCATCAAACTGTTGTTGTTTTGATAGCGAAAGCGTGAAGTTGGGATTTCTGTATCAAGAGACTTCAGCGCATGTGTGTTCTCAATTGGTGTGATTTTGGCTTTGTAAATCTGCTTTCGACTTTTTGCTCTTGTATACTTGCTTGTTGAGCCTTGTGCTACTTGGGTGTCTCCCTGTGCTATGAAAAATTGTTTCTAACCGTTGGTTTACTTGCATAATTTAGAACAATAATAAAAATAGTAGAAGTCAAAACCATGGCAACAAGCCGGACGTCTGGACCGACATCCAGACAGTCTAGGAAAAATTGTGAAGGTCCGCTGTCCGGTCCAGGACGTCTGGAAACACCCCCCCAACCAAAAATTTGATTCAGTTCGCACCTATAGTTTACAGGGGGCTGGGTTATGGGATCTAACTAGGGTGGACGATAACTGCGGATTCAAATTAGGGTTGCTGACTAACTAGGCGACTGTGGATTCTCAGGATTGGAACATTGGGGCTGGGATTTCACTGTTTTTTAGGGTTTTGTGTTGATTGAGCTACTTTCTTATGCTGAGGTCAGGGGTCTGCTTGGCCGGTGTGGCTTGTTCATCCCGACGACCGCGGCCAATGATGTAAAGGACAATGGGCCAGTTTCCCAGCATATATTGAAGGGGAGATAACTTTTACTTAAAAGAAAAAAAGTTGTTCAGCTTATTTTTCTGCATAACTTTTTTTGTTTTTCTTTTTTGCTGGAACCTTCTTTCGTCCGTGCACGGCCGGGCCCCCCGGGGCAAACAAGGTGAGCCGGGCGGCCCGGCTGGTAACCTGGGAGTTCAACTGTTTGAGCCATTTCCATTAAGCTTTCACAGACCCTCAAAAGCATTTTATAAATTTGTAATTTTATTATTTTATAATAATCTTTTGAAACGAAAGTATACTGATTCATAGCAACTAAAAAAAAAAAAAAAAAAACTTATCGGAACTAATTGATACTCATTTACAGAAAACATATGATAGCTAATTATGCTAATTAGTCATTTATTAATTCATAAATTTAAAATTTCACATTAAGAAATTTATCATAACTAATTCATACTAATTTTGCAATAACCCATGTCATATGTCTCGTGAAAAAAGTGAGGGCCAACTCGGCCCCCCTCAGCCCACGCCAAAACAGGGGCAAAAGACCCCACACGAGGACTGAGGCCTGGACGTGCGGCAGTTGACTTTGGTCAACTGTAATGAAGCCTGCAGATTCTCAGTGGACTGTACATTGGGCCGAGGGCGAAGCTTGGGGCTTGCCTCGTCGGGTCGCGTCTTAGATTAGATTCGTAATTTTGTTTGGCTGAGGGCTAACCGAGAGACCTACCTGTGAGGGTAATCCGTGAGGGACATATCTGCAAATCCGGGAAAATACAGGCCCGGTACTAACCTGATTCCCTACAGCTACCCTAACTGCGGATAGCAGGCCTGGGCGACCCCTAGACAGACAAGCCTATTCTGAATAGACGGTCCTATAGCCTATAGCCGGGTCCGGTAGAGGCCGAGAGGCCGAAACAGATACAGTACCGGTCGGTCAGTCAGTCCGGTCTAGGTCGGGGGTAGGCTAGTTGTAGTCTATAGATAGATTGGGCACATCGGTTCAGGGCCTTTGGCAGTTGGTACCGACTACATCGCTGCTGTGCTACGCGTGAGCCGGAAGTGGTGACGGCTCAGCGTGGATGAAGACGGGCATAGCCAGACCTTCGGAGTGCAGGCCATAGCTGGGACCTGCGCTGTACTCTGCCAGCACGCAGGGGCTGAGACAGGTCTGGGTTATCGAGGTCTGCTGGAGGCGAGAGAGATTGGTGCCCTGCTGGCCCCTCCTCCGGAGTGGGGTCCCAGAGGGTTTGCGCTGCAGCCATAGCTGCAGCTTCTTCATCTCAGAGGTCATCTTGTCAGGGTTTGGTGGAGCTGCTGCAGACTTCCACCCGGGAAGTCTTCCGACACTTCGTCATCATCAGATACTGTGGTGCTGGTCTTCTTCTTCATCCTCTGTGTAGCGCTTGGCCTCAGAGGCCTGTTTCAGGGTGGCGCTGCCCCCAGGAGGCTGTAATTGGGTGGCGCTTGATGTTTCAGGGGCTCAGGGGTGTTACGGGTGTTACTCAGGGTTGGGGAGTGAAGCGCTGCTCATATCTGAGCAGCGCACTGTAGTTCTGAAGTTATCTTGACAATTCGAGACTCTGAGTTTAATAAACAGTGTGATACTGTGTCTGGACCATCATCAGTTCATTGTTCTCTGGATGTGGCTTCCTGGCCTGCTCCTTGTCCGCAAACCGGTCCTGCAGGGCCTGCAGAAATCCAGCCACCCCCAACCTCTGCGCCCAGTCAGCCATCTCCATACCTTGCTTGCTGGAGGTAGACGTGCACCATTTCAGTGCTGACCGCTCCACGCGAGCAAGGATGGCTGACACCTTCACGTCCTCATCACATTTGAACCCACTCAGGTAGGTTCTCTGTGCAGCAACCCAGTCTGCCACATCCACCTTTGGGTCCTCACCTGAGAACATGGGTGGTGGTGTCAGCTTAGGCCGCTGAAACTCAAATGGTGACAAGGGCTGTGAAGCTGCCGTTGATCTGGGTGTAGAGGGTGGAGTTGCAGGTCTGGATTGTGGGGTCTTTTGGGTGTCTGCTGCAGAGGGGGACCACTTTTTAAAGGACAGTCCCCATATGCCTCGCAGGCCTTCAGGCTCGAACTAGAGAGGAGAGAGGTGGAGTCTGCAACTCCCTCCACCTGTGCTGATTCATCGTCTGAGGAAGTTGAATCTTCACCCTCTCTAGCTGGTTCATTCAGGAATTGCAGCATCAGGGTCCTTCACGTGTGATGACACTGATTTGTAGCAGATCTAGGGATGACACAAGGGTCGCAGCCCCTTTTCCTCGTGATCGGACTTCTCTGAGGAGATGTTTCCTACTTCCCTGGACAAGCGTAATTGTGCTGCGCTGTCAGAACTTGCTGATGCAAATTCTGGCCATACTCACCGTCCTGACTAGAGTTAGCTGCTGATTGGCAAGTTTCCCTCGTCTTGCGCTGAGTGCTGTCAGCCATTGCTCCAGGCTTTCAGCATCCTGCCCCTGACTCCTTGTCTATTACACAAGCTAGCATGATATCCACTGACAGCCTGGGTGTTTATGTCTTCATGCTCCACCGTATGGAGGTTGCTTGTTTTACCTGCAATCTCTTATTGCAGTCCTTCAGTCTAGAATGAGAATTATAGTTGAGAGCTACGGGCTCCACCATATCACTCTACTTATCGATTGCACTTGGTTCCATGTCTACTAGGGGTAAATACCCGGACCGACGACTATAGCTCCATGTCTAGATAGCTCAACTTTCCAGCATGGTCGATTGCATTATAGTCGGGTGCCAAGTTTTACTGTGGTCATTTGACGCAATCAAGACCAGCTGACACTGAGTTCTCCTTCTCCTAACATCACTGTTTATAGTGCTGGTCATGAGTATAGGAGACCGGACTGCAACAATAGGGCGTCGCCTACGGAACCTCAACTTTTCAGAAGTGGTCGATTGCGCGACAGTTAAGGACCGGGTCTTACCGTGGTTTCTTGATGCAGTCGAGACCAGCTGACACTTTGAGGTTACCTCCTCCTGACCTTGCTGTTCGCAGCTTTGATCAGGGGCATAGGTTACCCCGCGAGTCTCTCAGGTTCTCCTCTTCAGGTAAGAGTTATGTCTCTACACCCACTTCATATGTTGAGTCATTACCAGGAAATGAAGTATGGGCGCGGAGGTCCGCTCTCCCCGGGGGGGTAAGTATGTAATGAAGCCTGCAGATTCTCAGTGGACTGTACATTGGGCCGAGAGCAAAGCTCGGGGCTTGCCTCGGTCAGGTCGCGTCTTAGGTTAGATTCGTAATTTTGTTTGGCTGAGGGCTAACCGAGAGACCTACCTGTGAGGGTACTCCGTGAGGCACATATCTGCAAATCCGGGAAAATACAGGCCCGGTACTAACCTGATTCCCTACAGCTACCCTAACTGCGGATAGCAGGCCTGGGCGACCCCTAGA